CTCTCTTTCTCTCTCTCCCTCTCTCTCTCTCTCTCGCGCGCGCTCTATCTCTCTCTCTCTGTCGGTCTGTCTCTCCACCCACTCTCGAGCTCTTTCCCTCTCTCTCTCTCTCTCTCGCGCGCGCTCTATCTCTCTCTCTCTGTCGGTCTGTCTCTCCACCCACTCTCGAGCTCTTTCCCTCTCTCTCTCTCTCTCTCGCGCGCGCTCTATCTCTCTCTCTCTGTCGGTCTGTCTCTCCACCCACTCTCGAGCTCTTTCCCTCTCTCTCTCTCTCTCTCGCGCGCGCTCTATCTCTCTCTCTCTGTCGGTCTGTCTCTCCACCCACTCTCGAGCTCTTTCCCTCTCTCTCTCTCTCTCTCGCGCGCGCTCTATCTCTCTCTCTCTGTCGGTCTGTCTCTCCACCCACTCTCGAGCTCTTTCCCTCTCTCTCGCTTCATCTCTCTCTCTCGGTCGGTCTCTCTGTCTCTCTCTTCATCTTCTTCTTCTTCTTCTCTCTCTGTCTCTGTCGGTCGCTCGCTTTATGCTCCGTTTTTGTCTGTCTGTCTGCCTGCCTAAGTGCCTACCTCTCTCTCTCTCTCCCTCTCTCTCTCTCGCTCTCACATACACACATACTCTCTCTCTCTCTCTCTCTTTCTCCCCCCCCCCCTATAGACCTTCTTTTCATCACTCATTCTCAGAGCTCACTTGCGAGGGGAAGCCGGACCGCAAGTCAGCAACCTACACTTATGTCAACATCACCGTGACAAACGAGAACGAAATCGGTAATTATCGTAATCTCTCAGCATTTCCAGATACGCAGCGCAGGGGCGGGGCGGCAGGGAAGGAGAGAGACAAGAAAATAGGGAGACAAATGGGTGTAAGAAGGGTGCGTGCGGAGAAAGGCGGATCAGAGAGGGAAAGAGGCGGAAAGGAGAGGTGTGGGAGTGAGAGACAAGGGGAGCTGGGAGAAAGACGGGGAATAAGGGAAGCGAGGGGAACATACGCTCCCTTCGTATCGCGATTTGAAGCTCTCTGATAGGAAATAGCCGCCAGCGGCGTTCACCTTTTTAGACATGGGCGCACGCGATCGAATGCACTCAGCGATAGAACGCGATAATGCCGAGCATGATTTTTTCATTCAGCGTGAAACCTGCGGCGGTAAAACATTGGCGCGTGTGTGGATGTGCGCGTCGCTATGCTTTATAGCTCATGTAACGTCGGCAGAATCACAACAGCGGTTGCATCGCACCTCCCCCAGCGTGCGTATGCCGCCCTGCGAAGCGCGCACAGCGCAACAGCTCTCAAGCGTGAACACGCAGAAATAACGTATAGTATAGTATAATATTATAGTGTCGATATATATATATATATATATATATATACGGCTCTGTGTAGCTCGCGCCGCGCGCGCCCCCTACCTGCTTCTGCTTGTACTTGATCGCCAGCTTGAGTCGGCTGAGCGTCATACGTTCTGCGGTCGGTATCACCTCGCCAGGTTCGCCGGTAGGTTGCGCTCCCGTTTCGTGGTTCAGTATGACCTCTAGCTCCTGCGACGTGCGCGTCTGGTCGAGCAACGCTGTCGCGAAGTCCTGACATTTCTTAGTCAGCTCCTCGTACTCCGTCTTAAACTCGTTCTCGATGTTACTCAGATAGTTCAGCTCCCAGCTAAGCTCAAACGACGTCAGTATCGGGTCCTTGCTCGACAGAGCAATGAGGCTCGGGCTGGACAAGGCACGGTAGGCGTTGAGGCGCGAGCGCGAGTGTCGCAGACTGTCCGTGCCCGTGTTCGTCACGCACTCGCCACACACGCAGCGCACGTCGTGAGGCATCGGGATGCTAGCGTTGCGGTCGAGAAGGATCTTGATGATCTCGTAGTTGTCGCGATGTGCGGCGAGCACGATAGGCGTAATGTCCGGCGTGAAGGCGCTCTCACGCACATGCTCGTATGCCGGCGGTGCCATGCCCTGCAACACACGTACACAGATATAAGACATATATATATATATATATATATACGCATAAACATCATTAGGAATGCTGACGCAAGTCACTCTCCGATTGCAACTCGGAGCATGGAAATTGATAATTTGATCTAGATAAATTGAATGGGAATTTAACGTTATAGCGTCAATAATTCTGTGACTTTGTCTTGCCGAGACAAGCCCCGTACTGCTTAGCCTCCCAAATTAAGACGCTTAAGTTTTACCCCTCTAACCAAATTAATTACCCTTAAGCCTAATCCTGTTTGACGTTCATCCCATCACGTCATCCACCATGTTTAATATGCCACGAAATTTCACACGCTCCCCGCCCACACCCTCACGACCACCATATTATAGCTCCAGAGCTGCATGTA